CCCACCCCCCACTCCAGCAACCCTCAGTTTGTTTCCTGAGATTAAGAATTCCTGGAGCAAATCTTACTGCTTCACGTGCTCCTCCTCCGAGCTAAGCACAGTTCATATTCAGGGCACATTAACATTTCTTAAGCAACTGGATACCTGACTCTCCACCCTGCCATGCCTCTTTCCTATCTTGGCCTCAGTTTCCCCATGTGAACAACCAGGGGGCTGTACTGGATGGTCCTCAGGCCCTGCACCCAACGCTGGCTGGGGCATCCTAGGGTCACTGACCAGTTGTCTGCTTCCTTCCTTAGAGGTGGCTGATGGCCTCTGCTGTGTGCTGACCACACCCTGCCTCACTCAGAGCACGGCCACCCCGGCCGTGAGGGCCCCTGACTCGCCTGTCACCTTGCGCCAGAAGAACTTCGACTGGAAGAGGGTGCCCAGGTGGGGTGTGTGTGTGTGTGTCCTGCATGAATGTATGACCACCCCCAAACCTGTGTGAGAGCCTGACAGCTGAAAATACAGCAGGCTACAGCCCTCGCTGTGGAAAGCTGAGCGGGACACTGCAACCCAAAGAATCCCACTGTCCCCTGGGAGACCCTAACCCAGCTTCAGGCCTCACTGCCATTGCATTTCGTAGGATATCTGTAGTTGGGAGTAGTGAGTTATCTTAATCAAACACTGATCCTAACATTCCACTGGCAAATTCAAAGAAAATCAGAGATCAGAATTGCCTGGGAGATGAAGAAAATCTACTCTTCCTTGTAAAAGTCATAAAGAAATATTCATTCAAATTTGCAGTTGGAAGTTATAGCCATTCGAGTTAATGGTGGTTCCGAGAGGTTAAGTGATTTCTCCAAGATCACATGGCAACAAATATAAGAAGCAGAATTAGAACAATAAGTTAGAGAAATATTAACCAGGCTTTTTTTTCTTCTTTTTTTCCTTCTCCCATCTTGTTCTCCCTCTCTCTATGTCCGTCTCTTCTTTCCCTTCCTCTGTCCCCATTCTTCGCACACACAGACTGCAAGAGGACCCTGAGGGAGCCAGGAACCCACTTGGTGTAGATGAGTCCCTTTTCAGCTATGGCCTTCGAGAAAGCATCGCTTCCTACCTGTCCCTGACCAGCGATGACAACACCTCCTTCGATCGCAAGAAGAAAAGCATGTCCTTGATATACAGTGGGAGCAAGAGGAAGAGCTCCTTCTTCTCATCACCACCATATTTTGAAGACTAGCCTGAGAACAGACACCATCGTGTGTACCCAAAATAACAGAGGTTGGAACTGTCACCTGGGATTTGGCAGGGAGGCATGGTTCCCTGGCCCCTGGGGAACCGCACATCTTCCAGAAGCCAAGAAAAGGCACATGAAGACTCAAACTCACATCTTCTCTGTCCACATCATGACAAAGGGAACCCCTCCCTGGTGTCTGATCAGTACTGAGACATCACGAAATGTTGAATCACGATGTGATCGGGGAACATTTCAGAAAAGCCCCATGTATGTGTGTGTGCTCGTTGTGTTTGTGGGAAAGATAAAGACATTATCTCACAAGAAAGTGCACAGGACTGTTCAACGAACTGTCCAGATGGTCACACTCTGAGCTCATTGGAGATAACTCTGGAGCGAGAAAAGCCTGGGAAGAAGATGAGCCACAAGCTGCGGTCTGGCCAGTCCAGGTTTGCAAATGGGTCCCCCGCCACGAGCTTTTCTAACCAACCCAGAAAGAGACCTTTGGTATGCAGCTCCTCTCTTTTTAAGGGAACTCAGTGACACTAAATGTTAATCTTCCTTATCATCCCTGAATCAGGAGATCCCAGTGGCCTGCTGGTGCCAGGAATCAGACAGCCTCCCTGTCTCTGTAGAGGGCGAGGCAAAGGGGAGAGAGGGAGGCTGCTTGTGGGAAAATGGGAGGGTCACCTTGGAGCTGTGCAAGCTTTCCTGGTCTCCCCAGCCGTGGCTTCGTGGCACAGAAAGAGCTTCTCTGACAGGCTGGGACTCTTGCCAACAAAAATGCATCAGTTGTTTACTCATGGTTGCCTGAAGAGCTAACTGTGTTAAGTCCCATGTCAGGTTGAAAGAAAGAAAGAAAGGGAATAAAAGAAAAAAGGATCAGCAGAGGCACCCACAGTATAGACAAGGAGAAAAACCTACAGACAAATATCATGAAAGTGGGTTGTAGAAGGAAAAATCAGCTCATGGCTCCAGGGGGACTGGGGCAGGCAATGGTGGCCCATGAGCTCATGTCTCAGCTGCACCTTCGCAGAGGGTAAGTGCAGCTGGATTGAGTAGGCGAGAATGGTTGGCCTTTTTGGAAATGGCAAATTGACTAAATGCTAAAGAATTAATTCTAATTCTAAAGGATTAATTCATTTATGTGATTTTTCTGTATCATCAGTATTTTATTCTAAGAAGGGCCTGGCAGCCACATGAAGAAAACTGCTGAGCTCCAGGAAAGAGGGGAGGCAGAGTGGCTTTAATTCTGTCCTACTAATTTTAAGAGATGAGAGAGAAAGCACAGCAAAGTTCTAGAAAAGGAGAAGTATTTATCTTGAGGCCGCCCATCCGGATCTTGTTAGGAAGGGGGCTGCAGATGCACCCATGACTCATTTTCCCCTGTTGCAAAGGGATTCGGCGGGGAGGGGTACCCGTGGAACCCTTCGCTGCCTGATACGAAATGTCTGTCTGTTCACCACACGCATTCCGTAGATCTGAGATCACTGTGCTGGTGTTACGTGTATATGCATTTACGTGATTTTCTGTATCATCAGACTCTTGTGTGTTTATACAAGAAGACATTTACGGTTTCCCCCAAGAACCCCTAAAGGCCATTTCAAGGGGCCAGCCGATGTGTGGGAAATGAATATAACACTGTGGACGCTGACTTCCACCACAAGGGAGGGTGACCTCGCAAAAGCCAGATGTTTGTACGGTGTCTTATGCATTGTTTTCCGTTGTAACTAGTGTGCTGGGAACTTTCGGGGAGCACTCAGAGGCATTTCTAACTGGGAAGCATTACACTTTGCTAAATCATGTATTTATTTCTGATTAAAATATACCTAATAAATATTTAACCCTTGGCATGTGGGGAGACCTTTCTGGGCGAGGTGGGTGGGTGGCTCATTTGGAAGCATCTTTGGGTCTTGAATTTTCAGACAAACTTGCCCCTGGAGAGAGGTGAGAGCAAGGAACACCAAGAAGAACCGCACTGGTTAGCAGCTCAGCTTTTTCTTGAAGTGCAGCCTTAAGAAAACTGGATTTTGTGAATTTGGAGGGTGTCTTATCAAACTTGAAGGTGGACACAGGGGGTCAGGGGAGAGAACAACTTCTTAGCAATTGCTATGAGCATTCTGCCTCACCTAGGTAACTTCTGCGGATCACTTGTGATACCCCGGCTTTCTGTTTTTCCAAGAATTTATTTCTACACATATTTTTCTGGACACCTACTAAATGCCAGACGTGGCTCCAGACACTAGGGCTATAGCAGTGAAAACCAGATGAGGTCTCTGATATCACGGAGCTTGAGATCATAAATAAACAAGAAACTTTGTCACGGCAGGGAAGGTAGTGCAGAAAGTAACCTGGGCTGCTGGACCTGAGCGTGATGGGGTGAGGACTCATTTACCTAGATGCCTGCTTAGGAAAGGCCTCCCTGCCAGTGGATGCGTTTGAGCTCCCATATGAGCTGAGGCCTGAAAGATGAACAGCAAACAGCCAGGCAAATATCTAAAGGAAAACCGAAGGCAGTAGAGTTAATTGAGGTGATTCCTGTGGACAGGAGCAAGGCTGCCTGTGGAAGAAACTGGAAGAAGTGCTAGAGTGGCTGGGCTGAGTGAGCTAGAGTGAGGGGCGGAGGGCTGCCAGGAGGGAGGTAGGTCCTGCAGGGTTCTGGATGGAAGCGTCAGGAGCTTAAGGTGAATTCTAGGAGAAAGGCAAAGCCTTGGAAGGATCTAATTAGGGGAAGGTTATCATTTCATCCACGTGTTTTAAAGAACATACCGGTTGCTGCGAAGAGAATAGATTTTTAAAATTCTGGTGTTGTATTATCTACTTGACACGTAGTGATAACTTGCAAGCTCTAAGACAAAAGAATGCAGGATTTCAAAATAAAGGGTTGGAAAATTTTTCGCGCAAAAATGAACAAAGGGCAAGTGTTGAATTTTGAGGCAAAATGAAATTGAAGGCAAAAATAAATTGTATGGTGACTAACATAACATAATAAAATAAAATTAAATTAAAAAACATAGTTTAAGGGCCAAGAGAGATGTTACAAAAGATGAGGCATTAAGAAGATATGAATGAGCGAACCTGTGTTAATCTAACAATACAGTTTCAAAATATATTAAGCAGCCACTACAGGGACAAATAGATAAATGGATCATTTTATTTGGTGATTTAAACACACAACTCTCAGAAACGGAGAGATCAAGCAAAGATAAGTAGATAGGCAGATAGAGGATCTTGATAACACTGTACAACTTTTCTGCCAACCAGTGAAGAACTCATTAGGTCTAATAAATTTCAGAGTCAGCCTTCTCCAACTCAGGCTCCATGATAATAATGAAATAAAATTAGAAATCAATTTGCAAAAGGATGGGTTAAAATCCTATGCATCTAAAAGCTTAGAAAAAAGGGATGCATCTCCTGTGGTTAAGAAGAACATAATACAAGAAATAATCAAAGACATAGAAATACAGGACGTGTCGCTACTTCTCCAAATGTCCAGGGTGGAGCTGATACAACAGTAAGAGGGACATTTATTGCTTGAAACCCATTGACCAGAAAACAAAGAATGACAAGTAATGAGCTCAGATTTCAACTCAAGAAGCTCACAGAACAACTGATTGTCAAAGAAGCGAGGAGAAAGCAAAAGATGACAAAGGTAAACATGGATGAAATAAGAGCTTTATAGTCATAAAGAAGACTCAGAAAGCAAGACATTGTTTAAATAGTAAGACTGATATGATGAAGAAAAGCAGGAGCAAGAATGACCATGTCAAAGGAAAAGAAAGGCCGATGAGCTGCAGGGCTGCATATAAGGAGAGGACCTCTGCGGGGGAGGGTACCCTTGCCTCCCTCAGTCAGCAGGGCTGGCCCCTCTCCCTCTGTCCCCTCCCTGCTGTCCAAGCTGCCCAGACTCCACCCTGCGGATGGGAACAAGGCCCTCAGATGGCAGAGAAACACCTAGAAAGAACCCATGCCCCCAGAGATCATGAGACACTTTGGGAAATATTATGATAAAGAAAGAAAAAGAGAGAGAGAGAAAGAAACATATTTATTATTTAAGCTCCTTAAGTGTTGGATCTTTGCTAGAGTAGCTGAGCATTTTTGTCCAAAGGGTATAGAAATCAACCTGCCAAAATTTACAGATAATGAAATAACGTCAGAAAATCCAGTGGAGCCAACAGACCAAGTATTGGAAGTGGTAAGAAGGCTCAGCGAATTTGGAGCCGACTTTACTCCCCTACGCCAGTACTGACCAGCTGGAAAGTTCAATAAAAAATATGACATCATTCATAATGCCAACCGAACTAGGACACACAGGTAGGGACTTGCCTACAATGATTTCACAAAATTTTTGTGGAGAGAAGTTCAAAATGCTATGAAAAGACCCAAGGAGACAAAAATCATGTTTGTGGTGATGGTTTCAACCAGATTCACGGATGTGAGATTTCACATCATAAAAACATAGTTACTTTTTTGAAATTAATTGAAAAATTCCATGAAGATACACTCAAATTCACATCAGGACTATTTAAAGACAATCAATAGATATATCTTAATATATAGATGAGAGTATTGGAATCCATGAACAGTTCAGTCAATTTTGATTAAGAGAAACGGAGAAGAAAGTGCTCGAACTATGAGGTTTGTGCAAAAACAGGAGAAAACAGTGCTCAGGCCCCTCCCCTAGTGTTATGGAACTCAGCACGGGCTTTGGTGCCCTATTCCACCCAGGGCTGTGCGAAGCATTAAGGAAATTCTAAGACGAAAAGCTCACGGGCCCTGTCAAGCTTTCAGTCATAACAGAATTGGAGTAAGATGCGCTAGAAAAATACCCAGTGTGTAAGACAAGGCAGGATTCCTAAAAAATTGCCAAATAGAAGTCTCTTCACCAACGTGAGAATTGTTCTGTTTTAAGAGATGGAGAGAGGCTTAGAGGGCACCATTTCAGCTGAGCCCTGAAGAAGGGAGTGACTTTCCAGGTGGAGAAGTGGACGTGCCGACCACAGCATGGCAATGGAAAGATGTGGAAGAAGGCATGGCATTTTCTAGGAATGTTGATACTAGTGAGCCTGGAGTGCAGGGTTCCTCCAGGAATGGAGCAGGAAAGGAGACAGGAATATGTAGCTTGAGGCCAATTCACGAGGCCTGGCACTCCCTCAGGGAAATGGTGTAGGAGGGCAATGGAAATCTCTTCTGGGGCCCGTGAATCATACCTCAGACATGACCTCCTCTGTCTCCTCTCAAAACTGGCCAGGTCATCAGAGCCACAGAGTGCATGCTCGCGACATGTCACCCCCTCTTCCTTCTTCAACCCAGGCCCCGGAGGCAGGTGCAAATTCCCCTGACCTGCTTTGGTTTGGAGCTGCCCTCGCTTAGCAAGGCAAGGGGAACCTGGATTTCTTGAGTTCCTACAGTGCGCGGGACACTCTACAATCCTAATGTGATGGCAACTTCTTGAGCCCTTGGGAGACAGAATTAATCATACTGATTTTATCCATGAAGATTCCAAGAGTGAAGGGTTTTGCCCAAGGCTGGGATTTTAAGGCAGGCTTGCCTGACCGTAGGCCTGAGCTCTTTCTCTTAGGCCTTAAGGCCCTGGGAGGGTCCCAGGCTTCTCTGGAGAAACAACCTCATAGGGTGGGGAAAACACGGGATATGGCTTTAGGTTCTAGCCCCTAATGCGGCTCCTTCTGTGCTATGTGTTCTTTAGCAAGTCACTAGACCTCTCTGAGCCTCAGACTTCCTATCTCCAGATTGCAAATAATATGAAGATCCTGTGCCAATCAGTGTGAGCAATCTATGAGATAATATATCGGAAGTGCCTTGTGGCCCCAAATAATCTAAATAAAGTTATTAATTATCACAGGAGCCTGTCGTGCCTGGTGTCTCAACAGCCCTGGCTTCTAGATTTGCCGAAAGACAACATCTTATCCAAGAATATATCACCAACTCACATCCATTCCCCCAAACATCTGTTGGTAAAGAACACGTTTAAGAACCGCTAATGTATTGAAGTATTTTCGTTCTCTCGATTCCAAATACCAAATAATTTCACATGTGTCCCAAAGACTGCTGGAAGCAGTTGTAAAAGCTGCTTCTAAATGACTGAAACAGATGGAGAGTTCATTTTTAAATGCACTACCATTTGCTAAAACAGATTAGTTTCTGAAATTCCCCAAACACCTCAAGTCTCCAGAATTTTCAAAAAGAGAATTCTGCCTTCTGGGCTGACTGGAAGTCATTTTTGGTGTCTTCCAGGTCCCACTGAGTGTCTGGTTTCTGAGAGGCCTCTGGGGAAACCCCCTCAGGAGCATTCAAAGTCGGGAAGTTCTGTTTTCAATACCAGGAATTGAAAGATGCTTGGGTTCAGACCTCCTGCAATGAAGATGGGCCCACTAGAGAGGGAGATATTGAAGAAAATCTGGATCAAAGGACACGAAACACAAGACAGTGGTTGTGGGGAGGGAAGTGGACCAGCCTGGGGGGCCCTGGGCATAGTCCCCCATTCTTCTGCTCATTCACTGCCCGGATATTGACTATGGAGCATCTACTCTAGGACAGCTGTGTTGGGGGCTTCAGGCCCTGTGTGAGAACAAGGCACAGCTGCCCCCTGCTTTCCTGGGGCTCACAGTCTTGTGCGGGAGAGACTGGGAAGCGGGAATAATTCTTTACTGGTGGGAAGTCATGATAAATGATGTGCAGAGAAGTAGAGGCAGCGGAAGCCATATAAAGAGGGTCTGGTCCTGGGCTAAAAAATCTGGAAGGATTCCCTGAAGGACAGATAGAGCAGGCAAAGAGGACGATAGGATAAAGGTGTCCATGTAGAGGGAACTTCCTGCAGGAAGCGAAATAGAGCATGGATGCTTCAAGGAACGTTGGAAGGCTCCTATGGCTGAAAGAGATAGGCAAAGTGGCAGGTAGTACTGCTTTCTGTTGGGAATGGTGACAATGTTGATCTAGCATCATATCTGCCCAGACAATGTCACTCCTATCCTTCTCCTGACAGTCAAAGGTTCGGATCCCAGGAAGGCGGGACAATGCCCGACTGTGGTTATATGACCTTAGAATCATTAGCGGGTCCATGGCATTGGTCTTGATGGTGCTCTATTTTTCCGTAATTTGGCTACTTCAGTGTCTCATCATTGCTTTCTCTGCTTCCAGGATTGTCCCTCTTAAATGCATCCTCCACTTGGCTTTAAGAAGTCTTCCTAAAGGGAAGCAAGTTTCTTACTTGCCTAAAAACCCTTTGAGAGCACACCAATGTTCATTGCAGCACTATTCACAATAAGGCAGAAATAACCCCAGTATCTATCAACAAATGAATGCATGAACAAAATATGGTCTATGCATACAATGGAATATTATTCAGCCTAGAAAGGAAGGAAATTCTGATATAAGCTACAACATGGATGAGGCTTTATGAAGACATTATGCTAAGTGAAATAAGCCAGACACACACACACACACACACACGCACACGCACATTTTGTATGATTCCACTGCTGTGAGGTCCCTAGATTGGGCAAATTCATAGAGACAGAAGGTAGAATAGTGGTTATCAGGGGCTGGGGGAGGCAGGGGGGATGGGGAGTTATTGTTTAATAGGTACAGAGTTTCTGTTTGGGATGATGGAAAGTTCTGGAAATGATTAGTGGTGATGATTGTACCACACTGTGAAGGTACTTAATACCACTGAACCATACACTTAAAAATGTTAAAATGGGAAACCAAACCAAACCAAACATAACTCTTCAAAGGCTCCCATCACTGAGGATGAAAGCCAAGGTGTTTAGTGCAATCCGGCTGCTCCCTGCCTCCCAGTCTCCATCACTGCAGCACATGAAGAATCCGTTCCCCTCCCGCATCATAGGACTGGCAGATCTCAGTGAGAAGACACACTGTCTCTTAGTGCCAGAACTCTGCCCGCAGTGAAATGCCTGCACAGTCTTCAACATCTCGCTCAGACATACCTTCTCCTTGGAAGTATTCCTGGACATTACTACTTCCCTTGTGCTTAGTTGGGGGCTTCTCTCTCAAATGCCCTAAGACCCTCTTTTAAATATTTTCTTTAAGTGTTTGTCCCCCACCCCTCAGCAAACTATAAATTTCCCAAGAACTAGCACATGAATTATTTAGCATGACATTTCCAGCACCTACCATGGCACTTGACACAAACTGGACACTCCATAAAATTAGAATCAATCAATGACAATACCATCAGGGCTTGTGCTGTGATCAACAGGTTATTTCTTCTATAATAGTTATTGTCATGATCAAAATCTTACATCATCATCATCAGTATGATTATATCATCATCATCATCATCACCATCATCATCATCATCATCTAGCAGGAACATCCAGTAGAATCCTGAGTGCTGAGTTCTATTCTTTGCCTTTATTCAACAATCAGTGACTCAGTTGGCCAAACCTTGGGAGCTCCGTGCCTCACCCTGTGGCTGCTGACTCAGCTGCCTGTCACTTCTTGATCAGACACGTGGGCAAGGGTCCCTGCCACCCCTCCCCACCTTAGGCAAAGGAAATAGCAATGACGTAGAAGGGTTCCAAGAGAGGAATGAGTCATCCAATAGTGCTCCATGAAGAAATGCCACCAGAACTGAATTGGAGCCAGGAGATGGAGCATGGGCTATTGTTTAAACCAGACAGCATAAGGGAAGATTTCCCTGAGAAGATCAGGAAAGCAACACTGGAAAGCAGATGAGAGTTCTCTTGTTCTACTTTTCTCCTGTTGTGGCAATAATGTCGGGTGTAGTTAGCATCGTATTGGCTAAACTGTGCCCTCATCGTTAGCTTTCCTTCCACCAGAAAGCTCCTCATCTTACACTCCATTCCCTTGTGTTTGTCTATTGACAAGAGAGGTCTTCGAGAGTTCACACCATTAAACCCTAGTGGGGCAATCTCCCAAAATGGAAACACTTCCCCATCTAGAATTTTCATAACTTTAGAATGATGGACAGTAGTTAGAGGAGCCCCTCAGCATCCTGGAATCACCAGACCATGGAAAGATGGCCACGAGCAAGACACACGCCGGAACAAAGGATAAAGGAAACCAAGCAATCAAAGCCAGCTGGTCTCAAGAGGTAAGTGAGGCCCCTCACCTCACCTCACCAGTGTCCAAAACAAGGGTGAAGGCAGAACAGGTGACTCACCATCAGCATGACCCTCCGGAAGAGCCTGGAGTCAGCAGCCCTGGTGGTTAGAAGGTGGATGCTGGCCACGTCAGCTCCGCCACGGTCTGCTGCCAGAGTCACGCGCCGAGGGTCCCCACCAAACACTCCGATGTGAGTCTGCACCCAGGTCAGAGCCTCCCGCTGGTCCAGCAACCCCCAGTTGCCACTCACCTCGCCAGAACCTGCAGAAAGAGGAAAGACTTTTACCATTTGCGATCTTACAACCTGGAGTTTACCCACCCCAGTGCTGTCTGCAGTGCCTCTGGGGGACCGGGGCTCCTGTCTGTGCAGGTCCGGACAGCGAGAACAGCATGGGCTTCAGAACCAGACCCATCCAGCCTTTGCTGGGTAGGAGACCCTGCCACTGTCATTGCATTTCTCTGGGCTGCAGCTTTCCCACCAGAGGCGAGGGCACTCGCTAGCGCGGCCGCTCCAATCAGAGGCGGTGCGCGTCAGACCACCACCCAGCTTGGCACACAGCGGGGTGCCCCACATGTTGGTCCGCTGCGGTGGCTCTCCACGCCTCTTCCTCCCTGACCAGGACCAGGCATGGCTGAGGCTCTCCATCAGTTCCCACTGCCTCTTCTCCCTTGACCTTCCGTAGCATTCAGCTGAGTTGATCTATTCTTTTTTCATAGAATTAAGTAAATATTTTTCGAAAGCTCAGCACTGTTTTCTTAACGAAGTGATTCAGACACACACACACACACACACACACACACACACACACACACACTGTACATATAGTACAGCAAAAATATGCCCTCGTTGGCGTTTGGGACACTACGTGCTCATGCCTTCTGGCCATCCTCTGAATCCAGTGGATCCTTCTTGTCCATTTACGCGGCTAACCACCCTGAAATACCCAGCTTGTTCTGGTTCAAGTTGAGACTCACCCACTTTGCCCCAGGAAACTCCAACAGCTCCCATGCCTTCAACCACCACCCACATGCTGCTGACTCGGGAGTGTCAGGGGCACAGAGCGCTCTCCCAGCGCCAGCCCCTCATGTCTCCAGGAGGCTACCTCGCTGAAGGCACTTCAAAAGCATTGAGTCCCAAAGGGAATCGACTCCAAGTCCCCTGAGCATGCAGCCAGCAGCCTTTGCAGGATTTCTTATATTCTCCTTCTAATGCAGCACCACCCCCCCGATCTGCTCCTGCACAGCCTCAGAGTCCTCTCCGACACCTGCTATGCTCTATCTCCGCCTTCTCTTCCCCAGGTGCTCTGGGATCTCTCCCCACTGAGCTCCTTAGTGCTTCTCACTGGCCGCCTGTATCCACACATCTCTCCCTCCAATGAATCCTCCATGCCACATCCTGAGTGGTCTTTTATTTTTTAATTTTTTTAGGGAGGGCTGAGTGGCCCTTTTATTTATCTTTTTATTTTTTATAAGATTTTATTTATTTATTTGAGAGAGAGAGAGAGAGCACGCGCAGGGGGAGGAGCAGAGGGAGAGGGAGAAGCAGACTCGCCGCTGAGCGGGGAGCCTGATGCGGGGCTCGATCCCAGGACCCCGGGATCATGACCTGAGCTGAAGCAGACGCTTAACCGACTGAGTCACCCAGGCGCCCTGCTGAGTGGTCTTTGAAATGCATAATTTTGATCATGTCTCTCTCATATACACACAGCCCAACACACACACACACCCTGCCTTAGCCTATCTAAAATCTCCCATCTCATCCCATTAGGACCTGATCTCAGTTCTCCCAGTATATTCAAAACCCATGGGACCAGGGCGGCTGTCTCTTGGGCCCTATTTCCCTTTGTCCCCTGCCTGTCCTGATGCTGCAGCCTCCTGGCTTCTCATCAGTAGCTCAAACACACGGTCCACCCTCTTCCAGGCCTGTGCTTGGCACATGTGACCTCCTCTGCCCAGAGACCTCCTCCTCGCCCTGGCCTTCCTCCTCTTCCTCCTCCGGCCCAGTGGTCCTTCAAGTTTTAGCTATGGGTTAATTCAGAGGCAGCCCTGAGGTAAGCAAGGTTCCCCTTTCAGGGTATCTGTCACGCTTGGTGTCGCCTTCCTTGCTAGCCCAGGCCCCACCAAAACCAGTGGCACATAGCAGGTCCTTAGTCAATGTCAGGTGAATGAATGACCATAGTTACGATTAATAGGATTCAGTATGCAGTGAGAAACTATCAACGAGACTCCATATTCCCAAACAGAAATATAGGAAAATCTTGCGTCCCGATTCCCCAACCTGGCCTTCACCAAGTTGACGGGAACGCCCGCTCGGAGGACGTAACAGTACAAATTACTCTCCCAGCTGGTGAGACTCTCAGAATTTCTTCAAGTGCATTTTGTGTTCTGGGTTTGGTGAAGACATTAGCACAATCCTCACCATGGACGTTTCTGGATTGCACTTCTGTTCTGCCTGTTAGGATGAATGCGTGGTTTCTGAGGTCTTGGGCAGGGCAGGAAAGCTGGGTGCCACCTGGGTGGGACATGGTCCTGTACGTCCCGGAAGTGACATGCGCAGCCTGCATTTCCAGTGACAATATAGGAGGGTTGGGGGCGACTGTCCCTGCCTCTGACTTCCCATAGATCAGCTTCCCAAGTACAGTACTGATGTTGTGGGGTCTACAGACCCCCAGGAAGTCAGAGGAGAGGGCCCTTCAAGGGCTGCTCTTCAGACAAGTCTGGATGGGGCTTTGCCTGGTGCCAAGCGGGGAACCTGGTTCCATGGCGAGCAAGACAGGCACGGCCCTGGCCCTCACACAGCCTCAGCCGTGTGCACAGGGGCAGCGAACCAGCGGCTTTCGGGGAGTCTGCTCCAACCCCTTCCTTCACTGAGGAGGAACTTGACACTCAAGAGGAAATGTTTGTTTCAGCACGAGAAACAAATATAAGAGAAAGTCAGGACTTAGATCCCAGTGCACACTCGGAACTCTCTGTCCCAACACTCAATCCAATTCAACACCTGTTGGAAAATCTATGATGTGCAAGGCATTGTGTTATTTTCATTAAAAAAAAAATCTAAGTGCTCCATTTATGGAACTTTCTGTGCTCAAAAGCACTCCTAACTCCCCCGTTCCTGCGGAGAGTCAAGTCTAAATGTCTTCCTGGCTTTTGCGATCCTCTACGAATGGCCTCGGCCCATCCAAGCAGCCTGGGTTCCCTTCATTTTCCAACACCGGCCCTCGCCCAGCCACCATAGCCATGTTCATCCTGCCATCCTGCTGTGGCCTCCTCGGTGTCCTCCTGGACCCGTCCTGCCACACACGTGAGCTGGGCCGCGCCCCTGGCATGGCACTGGAGAGGGGCTCCCTGCTGGCTGCACGTAGAGTCCAGTAGGGAGACAGATGTGAGCAGGTGTCCACCCCTGTCCACCTACCCCGGCTGCCCCGCTCTGCCTTACCACCTCCACTGGTCAGAACCACCCCAGCCATATCCAACTGTTCCCTCGTTCCCTAACTGGTTCTCGCTTGCTCATGTGGTGTCTTCAACTGTCCCTCTAAAGCTCCTTGGTGCAATTCTGGGCTCACAGTGGGCCCTCACCCGGTCTCGCTGATGGCCGTCGATTAGAGGCAGCAGGTGAGGTGGCCAAGCACACAGGTTACGGAGCCAGACCAGCTGGGCGCAGCCCCAGCCCCACCACCTACTAACACTGTGGGGCCCTGGACAAGTTACCTAGTGCGACTTGATTTTCTCTGTCCGTAAAACGGAAGTAATAACCATTCTTACCTCTTCAGGTTGTTAGGATGACTGAATTGGTTAATAATCGTAAAGGAACCAGAACTGTGCCCGGCATAAAGCACTATAGAAATTGTCTAGTTTTTCTTGACTAAAATGAAACAGATTTAGGTCCCCGCAGTATCTCCCAGATGCTCTTTGTGGAGTGTGCCTTGGCTTTTGTAGCGGACTTATGGAGGGGCAGCCACAGAGACAGGACTGTGTGCCTGTTCTTCTGGCTGGAGGGGAGCAGACCCTCTCGGGAGGCCCCGGGGACGATGAGGTAATGGTCATGGTACCATGCCCGGCCTTCTGTCTGACTCCCTGGCCAAAGCACACCTCCTCCGTCCCCACACCCACAGCGGGCCTGCAGGCTGACCCACCCACTCCTCTGAGCCTGCCCCCGCCCCACCCCAGTGCCCCTGTTCCCCTCAATGCACTGCTTTGCCAAGCGAGGACTGTCACTGTGCCCTGGGCCCCCTGGGGTCTGCCCCCGGCAGGATCCAGGCTGGGGAAATGGCCTCCCCCCCTGGCCCACCTCCAACCCCTTCACTTCCTTTCCAACTGCTCGGTTCGCCGGGAACCAGGGCCTCCTTGAAGTACCGTTGGGTTTGGCCGTCTCTTCTCACAGAGAACACGAGCTCGTCTCGTCGGCCACAGGCCTGGCATGAGCTTCTCTTTTCATCCTCCCCCCACTGCTTTTTGAAAAGTGCCTCTGGAGGGGCGCCTGGGTGGCTCAGTTGGTTAAGTGTCTGCCTTCAGCTCAGGTCATGATCCCAGGGTCCTGGGATTGAGTCCCACATGGGGCTCCTTGCTCAGCAGGGAGTCTGCTTC